TCGTGGACTCGATGCTTTAGATCTCCCTTCATCGTTTGCGTTTCGATGAGAAATGGATTGTGATCGAGGGCTTCATGCTGAAATTTGGTAAAGACGGGGTCTTTCAGGGGAGGTGGAGATTCGAAGATGGAAGTCGCAGTGGGTAGGCGAGAGGAGATGTGTTGGTTGGCGAGAGAGGCGGTGAGAGCTTCTTGGAGTTGGAGCTGGAAGGCGAAGTCTTCGTCCGACGGGTGCAAGCGGAGCGCCATGTTCTCGCGCCGATGCTGTGTCAGAAAGGCGTCCTGGTCAGGTATAAGTCAAGGTCTTCGCCGCAGTGAGAAAGTCCCAGTGGCCCAAGTGGCCACGGGCCACCTAGTCTATTGTAAAAGGTTGTGTCACTGCTATCAGTTTGATGATTTATTGGCAGAGTTTTATATATATGTGTGTGTGCGTGTGTTTTTAGCCACTTTTAATCTAGTCTTTATTCCAAAAAAAAAAAATCTCATCTATAATTTGCTTAAATGAAAAGTGTTTGATTTTTTAAAAATAAAATTTTAAATTTTAATTAGGTATTAAGAGAATTTATTTTTTTGGAGAGTTTGAACTGTCTCAACTTTATATTAATTAAAATTTAATTTGATTTTTAAATAACAAAAGGTTTGATATTATAAAAAGGTTATCTCACTTGGTATAAAATTCAAATCTCACCTCTTTTAATCCCCCATCTCTTAATTCCCCAAGTTAAGAGAAAAAAAAATTCTTTTACATTTGCACTACTTTTTTCTTTTACATAAAAGATTTTTATATTAACTAATTATATTTAATCTCAAGGATAAATTTACTAGTAAATAAATATTGTTTTATAAGTTAGATTTAAGCTCAAATTTTAGAGCTAAAACTTAATGAAATTAAATATTTAGAATGTGTGAAACCAATATAAGTACGTACCTTGAACCTAGTTTTGTGAGTTAAGTGGCTTTAGTCACTTTTGTAAAGTTCGTATTCCCTCTCTAAAAGCAACGGGCTCGACCCGACCCAATGACTAAAATAATCAAATATATATATAAGTACGTACCTTGAATCTAGTCTTGTGGGTTAAGTGGCTCTAATCACTCTTGTAAAGTTCATATCCCTTCTCTAGTAACGGTTCGACCCGGCCCAATGACTAAAAATATTCAAAAAATATATATATATACAAGTATGTACCTTCAAAATTTTATGAACAAAAATTAATCTCAAAAAGCAATAAATTGAACCAGGCTCCTAATCCTGTAAAATAATAATAATAATAATAACAACAACAATAACTAACCATATTTACCCGGTGTTGGGTAAAGATTTATTTTCAATTTTGTTATATATCACTTACTTAGAAGTTAAGAATGCTACTGCCACCACAATAAAGAAAAACTATTAAAAGAAGTGGCTAATGCATAAAGTCTCATATGCCAGCTGTTTAGTGCATGTGATATATTGATAATAATCAAAATTTGAGTTATAATATTGCCATATTAACATTTTTTCCTCCCTTATCACCAAATTGTACTTGTTAAAAAAATAATAAATAAATAAATAAGAGAAGTGGCTAATGGTACAAGGGTGTAACAATGTTGAAGGTTTTTAATTTATTTTTATTTATTATTGTACAATAAAAACAACATTTTTCAATCTATTTATTCACCTCATCTGTATGCTTATGATTTAAACTTTAAAATGTCTCATAGTTCACTTCAAGGAAAATATTACTACTAAATTCCTTTATTGGCAAGAAACAAATTAGTTAATTATTACTGTGTTCATTGATTTATGGATGCAATTTCATAACTAAATACATTATTTTTCACTCTATCATGCATTCTTTGTTAAGAAAATTCTTTTAATATTGCAATAAAGCATTTTTGTTAATTTAATTTGCATGAAAACGAATTTTTCTTTTCTATGCTTTGTTTATTTTCATTTTTATTTTTTAAGCATGAATAATTTTTTTAAGGTTAAATCCCTAATTTGGTCCCTAAAGTATTGTACAGACCCTCAATTTGATCCTTGAATTAAAAAAATCCCTGATTTGGTCCCTAAATTAAAAAAATCCCTTATTTGGTCCCTAAATTATTGTATGGATCCTTAATTTAGTCCCTACTGTTTATCAATTTACCCCAAGTTGATCTTTCTGTACAAAAACAGTTGACGTGTCTTATTATTAACATGATATGTGATCGTTAAATTATTGTTCTCCACTATTAAATTACTATTTTTTGTCGTTAAGTAATAGATATTAACATGACATGTGGCCGTTGAATTATTATTTTTCATTGTTAAGTTATTATTTTTCATCATTAAGTAATGGACACGTCAGTTGTTTTTTGTACAAAAAAACTAATTTGAGACAAATTGGTAAATAGTAAAGACTAAATTGTTGATCTGTATAATAGTTGAGGGATCAAATTAGGGATTTTTTTAGTTTAAGAACCAAATCATAGGTTTATACAATAGTTCAGAGACCAATTGGAGTTTAACCATTTTTTAAACTGGTAATGGGAAATAATATCTACCAAACCGGTTCAAGTATGGTTCAGGACCAAACTGATCCGGTTTCTAATTTTTTCGGCCCAAGATTCAGTTTCTGCTTAACAGAGGCCTTTCATTTCTTTTCAACCCTCTAGCTTTTCAAGCTCGATTCAAATCATGATGGACTTGGGCTTCGTCCAGCTGAAGAGCCCAAATCTGGGATCAAATTTCTGAAATATTGAAAACCAGAAGGAAATTAACGTTTTACTTGGCAATGCTTTTTGAAATTTTAGCCTTTAGTTTCTATATTTTTTATTATTTTAAAAATATAAAAAATGATAATCAAAATAAATACTAAATATATTAAATATATATTTAAAAAATTAAAATATTGAAAAACAAGTAGTTGCAGTTGCATATAAACACTTCCAAACTAGGCTTAATATGAATCCTAAACCTTTTATTTTTTTGTTTTTTCTTTCTAAACTATCATCAAAAATGCAAAACCAAACCCAATTATATTTAGGAAGATTGAATTTCTTTTATTATTAAGAAAATGATGATTCAAACACACGCTCAGGTTGATAAAAAAAAAAAAAAAAAAACTCTGAATTATAGATCTCAAAATTAAACCATGAAACAAGTTTGAATGGATTTTTTTTTTGGGTGAAGATAAGAACTATTCCTTTATCATACACACAATGACACACTTTTATGCGATGGTAACTCTATTTTCCGGGCAAGGGATGTGAATTGGTATGAAATGAAATCACTTGGTCGACATCATGTGTTTACTATAATATTCTATTAATTAGTCGTTTTGTGACCCAAAATTATGTGTATTAAACTATTAATTCTGCCAGTTAATCATTCCAAATCAAGATTTCTTGTTAGTACAACTTTTATATATATTTATTTTTTTTCTTCATTTTGGTTTTTCAAACTCTCATCCCCTAATCCCCACCAATCAGACAAACAAATTCTAACAACTCAACGCATATTTGGCACAGCTAAGCTTAGACTGCTTGACTATTCTGAACGATCTAAGACCATACTTTTTTTTTATTTTTTTGGTAGAATCTCCAACCAATTTTATTCCTATTAAATTGTCGACGCACATTTTCCTCATGCGTCTAGAAATAATGCAATTTTTGTAACTAGAAACGTCACCGGTTTTTATATTTTCCAATTTGATGACTCTAATTGGAACTTTTGTCAAGAAACACTTTATTTTGCTCCCCATGCGCAAATTGCCAATTAGTGGCACACACAGTCCCCGCTGATTAAATTTCTTTAGAACACAGTTCTCAAATTTTGATTTCAACAGTCAAGTGCACAAGTTAATTGCCACTATATCATGGAGAACCGATGTCACCATACAATGTAATCACTAATTAAACCCACTTAGAAAGTATAAGAAACAAATTATATATATATATATATATATATAAAGCTATATATGAAAATGTGTATAATTAACAGGCCTGGACGGCTCCTCTCTGTCTTACTACTACTATGCCAAGGTTTGACGAAATTCATTTCGTTTACATGGAGAAGGCTGCTAGTGGTCATGGTATGCCAATGTTGATCAAACAATATATATATATGCTTATCCCTTTGGTCTCATTCGGAAATTATAATATGAATAAAAAGAGATATTGAGTACAAATTAATTTTTATATGAATGTTGAAAATTCCACCACCATATATTTCTTTTTTTTTTTTCAAAAGAATGCATAGCCATCTAGATTTAGAGAGTTTGCAATTTCAAATGCATGCAGACAATGGGATTTGAAAATGTCACAAACAAATAAAACGTTTGTTACACTAGCTAAATTCTATAAAGGGGTCAAGAAAGAAATTATATGTACAGCACTCATGTGGGTCCCACCAACCACTGCATTTCCCGTTCAGATTTTCTTTATTTTTTATTTTTTTGTTGAACGCTTAGATTTTCTTTATTATTTAGAATGTTCATTGTTCATAATCAAAATATTGCTTGAGAAGTTTGATACAAACTCTTTTTATCAAGAGGAATTCTCACCATATTCTCTAGCTAGATCTCTCGTACCCTTTTTTTTGCAGGGGTATATTATGTACTTTCTCTCTAATTGGACTCCATATATAACACATATGTAACTTATTTATAATTAATGATAACAAACTAATAAGAAATTAGTTGAATCGGTATCTCCTAACTTAAAGACAATGATTTGGGGTCAAAGTCAAAAGTTCTATATCTATCATCAATATTTAAAGACAATAATTTGAGGTCAAAATTAACGATTCTATATCATTCATCAATCACAATAATTAATGTATCACTTTACTCGGATATAGAAATTAATTGTTCAATTGGAGAATTAAGAGAAGGATGCTTGCTAGCACTATTCTTCTTAAATGAGCTTTCTAACCTATATGCCATGGTCTATGATGCATTAATCATGCATTTTATTTTTTAAATAAATTAATAAAATAAAGTTAATTTTTTATTAAAAAAAGAAAAAAATCAAGACATCCAATTATAACTAATAAATATGTAAGGTATAATGTAAGTTTTAATTTTATCAAATTCATCATGTATTTATTATTAGACGTCTTAATATAAAAAATGTCAAGATAACTTTTTTTTTCTTTCTTTTTTTTTTATAAAAATTTATTTAAAAAAAAAAACAATTTTACCAACTTTTGTCGATAAAAAACCCTTTTATCATGTAGTTGTTATTATATATCTTTATATTAAAAATGGATAAAGATGCATCAACACTCCTGCATCACACATTCGATACACTTCAATTTTCATTATTTTACTGTTAGTTATACTTAACTTCGTTACCATCTCTTCAGTCATCTCCCAACTCACCCAACCCTTTCTGTTCTCACCAGATCCATCTTCCTCCTCACCTCCATCCTTATCCTAATTATCTGCAAGACAATTGTCAGCCTCTCTCAGGTTCCCACCTTCTTCCTTTTTTCTTCTTCTTTTTTTATTTTGTTTTTCTAGAGAACCCAGATCTAGGTTCTCTTTTGGGTTCTCCCGTGGATGTGGAGGTGCCGAACTCTTCTTCTTCCCCGAAACCAGATTTGCTTCACCTTTTTTTTTTTTTTTTGGGGGCTGCTTGGCGATGACGATGATGATGGTGGTGATGGTGACGATGGTGATGGAAAATAGAGGGATGAAGGGAAGCAGAGAGGAGAAGGATCAAGGGGCTTCTGTTTCCCCTTCTTCTTTTTTTTTGCCGCTTCTTCTATGGTTTTGCCCCTCCCTATTTCGGTGGTGATTGAGGATGGTGATGGAGGTGGAGGTTGTGATGATGATGAGATATAAGGAGATGGTCTAGATCTATATAAGGCAGAAAAATCGAGAGAGAAGAAGAGGTGGGTTCTTGAAGAACCCGATTTGGATTCTCCAAAACCCAGACCGAGAGAGAGAAAAAAAAAAAAAGGAAGAAGTTGGGAACACAGTGAGAGTGACAAACGGAGTGTGAAAGTTAACAGAAAAATGAGTGTGTAATAAGAGTGTGATACGAATGTGTGCATACCAATCATGATCCATTAAAAATATCAAGATATCTTAATTTTTTTTTTCTTTTTCTATATAAATTATTTAAAATATATATATAATTTTACCAATTTGTGTCGGTAGAACACCCCTATAAAATATCACTCCTCCGAATGAAAAACCCTAGAAATAGGTGTGTAACCATTAATGATTAATTTTACGCGTTTGTATTGTAGCCTTTCCTTATAGATGATTTTGTTTTTTGGGGGTACTTATTACTGAAACAGAGATCGATCCTTAAAGATGAAGTTGATTGGATTGGACCTACGAATCGAACTAGCACCTAAAGGAATGAATAATGGATTTTACGCGTTTACTAAAGCAACTTTATTTACAACTTTAGATTAATAATAATAATAATGTCTCATAAAAATGTTAGCCAACGACCTGGAATCTACATATGGATCTCCCGCACAGGCTCGACCTGTACATGTACATGCGTTTGCAGTTACTTTCCAAAACTACGTACTTGATTTTCCATTTAAACCAAATTTAGAGTATGTTTGGTAAAATTTTTAGAAGTTTTAGCTTTTTATATTATTTATATTTTATAAATTAAAATTTTTTTTCTTAAAAACTTACATTTTTAAATTTTTTTTTATTTTAAAAAGATTTCAAACAGTAAAAACTTAAAAACTTCAAATTTAAACTTTTCATAAACTTTTTTTTACTCACTTTTTACTTACTTTTTCTTATTTTCAAAAGTAATTTTTAAATTTTTCCTCCAATAAAAATTTAAATTTGTCACTTATAACAATACTTAAAAAGTAAATCAAATCAAACATGCCCTTAATGTGGAATACTGAATGCAGTTTTTTTTAATTTGTTTAAGTGTTTTCCAACCTCGGTCTTAGGATGAAATTATTGTATCTTTTTTTTTTTACGTTAATTATAATAAAAAATATAAAAATTGACATTAAATTTCAATATAAATATAATGTGCATTATTATAACTAAAAAATTGATTAAATGAATGCCAATTTTTATTGTATTTTAATTTCTTTATCATTGATTGAAAACAAAAGTTGACTTTGTACTCTTAGAATATAAGTAAAAAAAACTCTTAATATTAATTTTTTTTTGTAGAGAAAAGAGAAAAGCCATCTACCACTACTTTGTCTTATCTTAATTCAATTTTGAACAATCTTTGATTAGGTAGGCCTCTTAAACCACTTTAAAATTTACCTAACACCATTTTTGGCTACAATATCATGGATCAATACAAGTCCACACGCTACTATTGAAATCCGGTTTTAGTCCATATAATGTGATAGAGATACGATATAAAATTTGTACTTGTACTCATAAGACAAAAGAAGAAAAGGTTAAGGACTCACGAATTCGATTATTCACTCCCTAAATTAAGAGTATCAATTAAGTGCAAATTAAACAACCTACCGAGTGGGGTTTAACAACAAGAAGAAAAGGAATACCATTCTAATAGTTTGTCATTTTTAAATAAAAATTTATCTATTATGAGTCAATAAATTAAATTTATAAATTCTTGTAAAATTAATTAAGTAAAAAAATTTTATACTCATAAATAAAATTAAAGAAGTTTAAATAAGGTCTATTAATGATACCAAATTTTTTACATAAAAAATTATTATTAAAATTGTAATCCATTTCATATGGATCCACCACCAAAAATATTTGCTATTTTCAAGTCATTAATATTTGATTAACCTGGCCAAAAAGAAATGAACATTTAATAAGTCATCAAAACCATTAGATAAAGTGTATCCTCACATTTTAGGGGAATTGCTTATATTATGTTGTTTAACTGTTTAAATTATGTAGTTTAGTTAATTATCTGAATAACTTAGTGATAATCTCTTTTTATTGAAAATAAGTGATTCTGAGTTTGTGTTGTATGGGATACGGGTGGTGTGGGATAAAAATAGGAGAGGGTTGCCTCCCGTTGTGTAACCAATATAAAAAAAAAAAAATTATGTAATCTATGTTGCCCAAAAGTGGAAAAAATCGTGAGATCAGTACCCAACTTGTCAGGTAGTTGAACATCGACCCCTAAAAAAAATGCTGTTATAAAGTCGCCCTTTAAAATCATGTTCATATGGTAATGAAAAGGTCCAAATATAAGGTAACCTTCGCTGACATGTTGGATTGATGATATTGACTTTTAAATTCATGTTCTCACGTTAACTACATATAAAGCAAATGAAAATGGGATTGACATGTATATCACGACTTTTCAGTCAAAAGAAGGGAACATGTATCATGGCATGTTGGGTGACAATGGAAAAGGAAAACCGAACAACACCATGACGATGTTGTTTAATTAGTCGAGATCACTTCATGTGGGATGCACATGATAGTTGAAATTTTAGAATTATAACCCAAATTACGCGTTTAAGAGGAGACAAAACCATCATTTGTTTTATAAAGTTAATTAACAAGATCATCAAGACCACACATTATGTGTGGTGTTATTTTGATTTAACTCATATATCTCATTATTTGTAAAATTTCTCAAAAATTTAAACTTGAGATTTCTAAATCAAAAACTTTTAGGTCAAACTTTATAATTGGAACAAGAGATTTGAGAAAGATGATATCTATATATATATATATATATATATATCTATTGTATAGCATTACTATTAGATATTGCATAAAATCAAGACATTCTTATAATTAAAATGTTAAAAATTATAATGAAAAGACTAAAATACCTTTAATAAAAATATCCTTAATAAATCAACACTTAAAAAAAAGATTTATTAAGAATATTTGAACAATTTGACAAACAATCTTAACATTCTAAAATTAAAACATCCAAATTTTGACTTTTCTCTTACTACCATTAGATGTTTTTATTTTTTTTAGACCACTGTTAATTAGATGTTAAATGAAAAAACTACAAATCAAAGGGAGCACGGGTCATTTTATGAGGAGCCTCTTTTGCTTTTTATGGGAGCTTGGGTCACTTGGCCGGTGTGAACTCCTGTATGATTTAGAAGTTAGTGGAATACTTTTGTTTATCATAAAACTAATGTTTTTAGCTAGAAAAACCAGGTGAAAGTTGATAGTTTTTTTTTTTTTTTTGCCAAGTTAGAGTCGATTTGTGTATACTTTGGGATTTCTCGCACTTCTTATGTGATAATGGTGTATT